CCGGTCTGTCCCCGCCCTTTCCCCTAACCGCAGCTTGGGCCTGTCCTTGCAGATAGATGATCTCTACGAGGCTTATTGCATCCAGCGGCGGCTCCGCGATGGAGCCCACAACATGGTCAAGGCTTACAGCACGGGCTCGCCGGGCAGCCGGGAGGCACGCGAGAGCCTGGCTGAGGCCAGCAAGGGCTACAAGGAGTACACGGAGGTGAGGCAGCCGGCTGGGGTGGGCTGGCAGGGTGCTGGGTCCCACGGGTGGCTGCTGATGGGTGCTGTCTGTCCGTCTGTCCCCAGAACATGTGTCTGTTGGAGAACGAGCTGGAGAGCCAGCTGGGCGAGTTCCACGTCCGGATGAAAGGTAATGCGTCCCGCTCCATCCCTGGCCTGCTGCCTGCCTGCCTGCCTGCTGCCTGCTGACGCCTCTCTGCCTTCTCTTGCAGGACTGGCAGGCTTTGCCCGGCTCTGTGCTGGTGACCAGTATGAGGTTGGTGGGACCATATGGGTTGGGATCTGCTCTTCTCCTGCCCCGTGGTCCTTGGCGTGCCTGGGGGGCGTAGGTGGGCGCTGGTGTGGAGGGCATGGTGCAGGGCAGTGGTGGGTGGCATGGGTCCCTGGTCATGCCTGGGGATGCACAGAGAGCACCCACCACCCCAGTGCTGTATCTACCCCACACCCACACCTCTGCATCCCCAGATCTTCATGAAGTACGGACGGCAGCGGTGGAAGCTGCGGGGGCGCATCGAGGTGAACAGCAAGCAGGTGTGGGACAGCGAGGAAATGGTTTTCTTGCCCCTTGTCACCGAGTTCCTCTCCATCAAGGTACAGTGCAAATGGGGCAGGGATGGTGTGGGCCAGCTACCACCCTGCAGCCCAGCAGGGCTTCCCTCCGGGACCTCACCTAAACCTCACCTTCACGGGGGTGGGAGGAGGCTGTCTGGTGGCCGTGGCATCCTGGCACACAGCATGGATGCAAACAGCATGGATAAGATGAGGCCCACGGCTTCATCTCGTCCTCTCCTCCCTCTCCTTCTCCAGGTGACAGAGCTAAAGAGCCTGGCCAACCATGTTGTGGTGGGCAATGTGTCCTGCGAGACCAAGGACCTCTTTGCGGCTCTGCCCCAGGTAGTGGCTGTGGATATCAACGACTTGGGCACCCTCAAACTCAGCCTGGAGGTGACCTGGAAGTGAGTATCTCAGCAGGCATTGCTGGTAGCACATGGCAGGGCTGAGGGTGCCCGGCATGAGGTGGCAAGAGGTGGCCTGCCCCGGGCTCTCTCCCATCCCAAAACTGGGCTGCAATTATGGAAAACCAGAGCTGGACTGGATGGGGTCCTGGTGTCCTGCTTGCTGCAGAGCAGGGTCGAGACCCGCCCAGGCTGGCACACAGCCCTCACCTCCCGGCTCTCCTCCCCAGCCCCTTCGACAAGGATGACCAGCCCTCTGCAGCCAGCACCGTCAACAAGGCCTCCACAGTGAACAAGAGGTTCTCCACCTACAACCAGAGCCCGCCTGACACGCCATCCCTGCGGGAACAGGCTTTCTACGTAAGTGTGGCACCGGGCAGGGCTGCTCAGGAGAGGTGGCCCATGGAGGGGTCCACACAGGGATGTGCCCAGGCTACGTCCCAGAGGGTGGCACGGCTCGGGCACAGGGGTGGAC